GAAGGCAGTTCAAAGAGAGTCCTGGCTAGCGACCGAAGCAAGAATGGGGCCCATCCGACCAGACGCACAGACGCAGCGGCGGGAAGTGCCTCGCGAGACAATGACTGAAAAAACGTACGGCCGGTGGGTGGATCAAAGACAGATCAACAACATGTTAAAAAGCAGAGCATAAAAGTTTCGTCAACTTCAGTCAAATCGAGAATTGATGAGTTTGTTTAAATGAGAGAAAGACTCCCAATGAAATAATGAGGCGAGATGGTGGTTCTTATAGAGTGAGATAGAACCATGGAACCCAGTTGATCGGTGGAGTGGGAGGGAAGAGGTTAAAACAGCATCGGGTAATGCGGGTATATCAAGCCTAGGCATGTTGAAAGGAGGTATTAGATCATAAGTTAAGAACTGAAGTTCAGGGAAATAAACAACGTGCGAGTTGTGTGGAAACAAAGACTGGAGTAGCATAAGCCACCAAGCACGATTCAGTGGGGTACTGCCAAGGAAAGAAACGAAATAACAAATCACAATGAGAACAAAAGTCCCAGTCGGAAATCAACGAAGGAAAAATTCAACTGGGCACAGAGAGCTAGTACGCGACCCAAGTGACGACGACGTGTTTCAATCACATTGTCATTTAAGCGGATTTTGGGGCCTTGCATACTACTCATCGCTTCACCTAGAGTTGTAGTGTTATGCACGACGGAGGAGAGAACAATAAGTGACTCAACAATTAAATAAATATATCCGAAAATGGTTTCTGTACCCGTTGCTCCGGCTGAATCAGGCAGGTCAAATATTGGCAAGCAACCCGGTTGTCTCAATGCATTTTATAGCACAAGATCATCCAATGGATTTAAACCTGCCACTGGAATGCAGTCGGTGCACAAAAACGTTCTGATGTTTTGTGAAACCATGCTGCTCACAGCGGAGAAAACCTGTTCCCTGTGCGCATATACAGCTAACTTGAACCGTACTGGTCAAACTATCCCAATGGTGGAAAGAAGCGCACCTATTATTTCATAAAAGCTTCGCTGGAAGAAAATTAATATTAACAAAATGTTGAAAATTGGTTCTCGTAGCTCGGGTGAACTGAACTCCATTTTGCCTGTTCGCCGAGCTTGGCAATTTGTTTGAAAACGTTTCATCACCGGCCGAGGTGACATCATCAGTGCGTGTGAAACGACCACATCAGATCACGATACTAATTTGATATTTTTTAGGCTTTATATTTCGATGTAGATCCCTAGGTGGTCCATTGTTCCCTTAAACGAATCCTAATCTTAGGATTCTTTGTTTTGTCGCATATAAAATATATTGTGCCTTCTGGACAAATACTCCTACCTTGGCCAACGTTCCAGTAGTTTTCACATGGCCAGAGTTATGGTATTTCTAAGATTCTTATTCTACCGAATTATCGCAACACCTCTGTAAATATCGTTCTATTGCTTTATACAATATATGACAATTTCAAGTAACCTCTTGGGAACCACAGGTTTTAATTCTGCATCCTCTCGATAGCTGTTTTAATTGTGGTAATAACAAAGATAAGCAAATAAAATCTTTCTGTTCATTTGCATTAGCTCTGTAGATAGTGCTTAACAACTTCCCCAGG